AACCCCTTTCGGTATGAATTTGTCTGTAAAGAATATATCATGACTTCAAATGAACATGATGAAGAGGTTTCATTTTCAGAAGTGATTGAACTCAACAGCATTTAAAAAATTCTTATGTTTTTTGTCAGGCTATATATGATAAACATTACTTTGAGTCTGTGGCTTAAAATATAACATCTTTTTTACAAATTTGATTACACAAGGGTAATAAATTATGATTTTATCAATGATTTTCTAAACACTCTGTTTTTTTGTCCATTGCAATTATTTGTTTTGTGTTGTTCGCAGATGCTGCTGAAATAATACAGACACGTTGCCAAAGAGACATCTGGAAATGAATATTATGTCCATTATGAAGGCTGTATGTATTATATATTGTGTGCTGTTCATATCTTCACTGAATATTAATTAGACTTTATACAGACAATTTTTAATGTTTTAAAGATTGTTCTTTTAAATGATTTTGTTCAAGATAATTGATATAAAGAATAAATTTCTAGCTTGATTTATATGAAGAATATGGAGAGCTTTTTGTAGTCACTCAGGCATTGATGACATAATTTTTCACATGAGAGCATAAAAGGTCACTGTCCAAGGCCCAAAACTCTTACATGGGTTTTGGCCCTTTTGAACTTAGAAAATTCTTCATAATCCAGGCTCTGAGAATAGTATAGAATGCTCTCCACTGACAGTTCTTGTAATTAAAAAAAAGATAGTATTATGATTTAATTTAAAATATATAAAATTTATATTGTGCATGTATTTATTACCTCTTTATATTAATAATGCTTGACATGATTATGATATACAAGCCATGTTGTACTTGGTTTATTATTACGAATTACAAATAACGTACTTCTTATCGTGTGTAAAAATTATTGTCAATTTGCACAGTTCCAATTCAGATATAATATCATTCAAACTATTTAATAATAACATATAAAATAAAATAAAGTATAAATACTCATACTCTCCTGTTAACACACTGTTAGGTGTTGGGTTTATCCCAGATACATAAATAATGAAAAGGTTCTCTTAGCTATTCAGCGACAATTAGAAAAATGGAGTTTGCTGTCCATTGACAGCTTTTGTGTAAATTTCACAATAACACAAGATTGTCTTTGCAAAGGAAAATATAATCCTAAGTATATTTTTCGTCAAAGCTTCTTCTTTCTGTTTCTGAGATAAAAGTTACATTCATTTTTTTCAATACCTTTTTAACATACTTCTTTATACAGTTAACCGCAGACTTGATGAGTGGGTTGATTTGGACAGATTTGATTTGACCAATAAAATTGAAGACCAGCAGAGTAAGATAAAGGATGTTACTGTAATGATGACAGATCTCAGTGATGGCACTGATAGAAAACTTACACGTAATCAGAAACGTAAACATGATGAAATTAATCATGTACAGAAGGTAAACTCACAAATTATGTGTTTTAATACTTAAAGTTTTATTAGAAAAAATCATTAATGTTGGTGAAAACTTGTTTCAAAATAATTTATTTTACAGAACCATACTTTCTCCTAAATTGTGTATCTTTGTAAATATAAACAAATGTATGTCACAGATTCTTTCGTGTTTTATGCAGATGAAAATGGACAAAGCTGATAGGTATTCATTTAATGTACATGTATTATGTATAATGTTATCTATTCTATATCCTTTATAAAAAAAAATTGATTTTCAGACATATGCTGAGATGGATCCTACTACAGCAGCATTAGAAAAGGAACATGAGGCAGTGAGTATATACTGTATACTTCAATATTGAATCTGCTCTTCAAATGTGTTGGTGTCCATCCATCCACCCAACAAACTCCATATTATAAATTTCAATGGTTCTTCAGTGCTTGCAAGCATTAGTGAAATAAATTTCTTAAATTATTATTGACAATTTGAATATGCACATGTATATGCATATACATATTGATATATAAAATAAATACAGCCTACACAAGTGAAAGTGATTCTACATCCAAAGAATCATAAATGATGAATGAGTAATCTAGTAGTAATGCAAGTCAAGACAAGGTGATTTTCTCAGCTTTAGTCTCTTAACCTCTCTAGAAAAAAGTGTCATCTAACTCATCTTCTAATAATTCTAAAACAGAGATGGTAATGTCAATATTAAGTACATAGAAGTCATGCAGATCACTGTTTTTTGTTTGTTCTGTTTTTCAAAATATTTCATGTGGTTGTTTTTTTTTTCAGATAACAAAAGTAAAGTACATAGATAAGATTCAGATAGGGAAGTACGAGATAGACACATGGTATTTCTCACCTTATCCTGAGGAATATGGCAAACAACCAAAACTCTTTATCTGTGAATATTGTCTTAAATATATGAAGCTAGAGAAAACATTCAGATATCATCAGGTAAGTGGTCAGTATGATTATACAAAGTTATAGTACCAAAATTATTGACTGTAGAGGTGTACATGGAATGGTGGTTATGGTCATTGACTTCAAATTACTTGCCCTTCACGCAGTAGGTTCAAATCCCACCTGAGACTTCGATTCTTTCCATTTAGGTAGTTCTACTCAGGTGTCAGAAATAATGCACAAAGGGGTTCCTGAGCTCTTCCTCTACCAGTAAAACTGGAAAGTTGCTTTATAACCTTTACGGTGTTTGTTTAATGTAAAACCCAACAAAAATATAATAAATATCTATTGACTCTATTCATCATTTGGAAAATAGGATTAGAATGGACAGATAAACTTTTTATTATGTTATTGAAATAATAATGATAATAAACTATTTAGGATATCAAACTATCATATAACAAAATTCATTAATTTTTATTTGAATATTGACATAATTTTAACTTATACATATTTCTAAACATGTTAATATTTGCAATATGTGTATTTTTGCGTATTAAAACTTCAATAAAGATAAGAATAAAATCATTGCTTAGAGAGGTTGTTCTTCTTAAATTAGTGTGCCAGGCAGTTCTTCTGTTTGTACTGACTACTGGCATTAAGAAATGGTGGTGGTGTTGGTAGTTTTCACTCTGGGTCATGGCAGTAAGCCACATTGAATTTACCAGAGCACAGTTCAGCCAAGGCATCGTTCGTGGCCATGCTGTCAAGCAGTTTACCATTACTAGTTGCTTTCACTTCCGCAAGGAACTGAAACTTCTGTACATGCCAGAGCAGAGGTACTGTGCGAATGACCGTAGATATGATTTCACGAAAGTGACCTGCACCATCTGGAAATCGAACCCAGGTCCCCTGATTCACAATCCAACGCCTTACCTATTGAGCTAATTGGACGGCTTGCATAAAGAAATTATTAGATTACTGATTTTATATAAGTCTTTGACTATACATACTGTCATTATAAGACATTAACTGTTTCAGAGTCAGTGTGTATATAGATTTCCCCCAGGCAAGGAGATTTACAGGAAGGGAACTTTGTCTCTGTTTGAAGTTGATGGAAAAGATAGTAAAGTAAGAAAATTATGTGCACAGTATACATAATGAAACATAGCAACACTACTACCATTGCATTTAGTCATTGAGATTAAACATTTACAGAAATTTATTGAAAACCTTTTTTTTTGAGTTGATAAATATAAAAAAAAATGAACTAAAACTATATATGTTCCCTTTTCTAAAACTTTTTTTCAACTCATTCTTACTTTTTACATAGTTTAAGTGAAATTTTTATATCAAATGTTGCTATAAAGAAAGATTTTACTGATTGAGTTTTAAATTTTATTACAGATTTATTGCCAGAACCTATGTTTACTAGCCAAGTTATTCTTGGATCACAAGACACTATACTTTGATGTGGAACCTTTCTTGTTTTATATCCTGACAGAGGTTGATAGACATGGTTGTCATCTTGTTGGATACTTCTCTAAGGTATATAGAGTAAACATATACTAATATACAAGTTAGCAAAAATAGTATTTTAAAGCAGGGCATGTTAATCTATGATATTACTGAGGGTAGTGGCTAATATAGTTTGGCATTGACAAATACTCTCAATAGTTGACTTGACTTGAACTGTCTCAACCATAATCATATTTGGTGCAAATTGATACAATCATTGCTATGAACAGATAATTTGAAATCAACAACATCTATTTTTCTTACAATTAGCAGTTCTTGTTGACTCGAAATAGTTGGTGTTTTTCTGTCAGCTTGTCTGGCACTGATAAGGTGTTGAAAGTGACAGTGTCCTATATATTTGTTGGCTGTTGGTAATAAAAATTTGTTGATATTGTGATTTAAACGATTATAGAATATTTGTAATGAAAGAACTTTATCAGTATATTTTATTGAAAATACTGTGGCAAGCATGAAACCATCAGAAAACTTAATAAAATAGCAGCAGAATATTTTATTCCAGAACATTTCATTCTGTTTACATACAATATTCATGTACCATATATTAAATTTCATAGACATTTTATGGTACAAATCTTTCAAGAAACAACCATAAGGTTGTGAAAACAACCTATTTTATTGTGTTTAGATTTTTTTTAAAAGACACTATGGTGTTCTTTGTTCAGATCCAATTATTCTAGGTTGATACTCTGCATTATCAAGAATAGAAAAAATACTTATAAAATTGCAGTGTTGTAGATTGGAAAAAGTGCTTGTGATGTTTGATTTAATATTGTAATGCTGTAATGTATATTACAGGAGAAAGAATCTCCAGATGGTAATAATGTAGCTTGTATCCTAACACTACCACCATTCCAGAGGAAAGGATATGGAAAATTCCTCATAGCTTTCAGTATGTATTGTATATTTACATGGAACAAAACTTATAAACCCCCACTGTATACAAGTTGTTTGAGAATTGTGGAGATATCTTTATGAGCATGTAATATAATATGTTGTAGGGGTTTATAAATTTTGTTTAGGGAAGTTTGATATGTTTGTTAGTGGTATTTTCACATGTAAATCTGACCTGCTTAATTCAGGACAAAATGTATGCTATAAGTCCCTTATTATGATTAGATAAAGCTTTTCCAATCTCATCAGTAATGAAGTTGTTTCTAACTTTTTGTTATTTATGTATATGTATCTATATTTTATATAAAATAGAATTGAGAATAGCATTAACAAATATGTGTCTACAATGATTTACTTAAAGAAAAATCTTTGACATTGTAACAGCCATTTGTAATCATTAATTTTTCAATTCACAAGAAAATGTTTACACATTAGTTTTATGTTTGCAGGTTATGAGTTATCAAAGTTGGATTGTACAGTTGGGTCCCCAGAAAAGCCTTTATCTGATCTCGGTAAACTAAGCTACAGGAGTTACTGGTCCTGGGTGCTCCTTGAAATACTACGAGACTTCAGAGGAACTCTCTCAATTAAAGACTTAAGGTAAAAATAGATTGTTAGTTCTTGTTGAAAATTATTCAGCTATTAAAGTTGTCAGATGCTGTCCAAATTGAAGTAGAGAAATATAACTTGATAATTAAATTTTTTTAAATTACACTTGAAAAGCTATTTGTTTTTGGTAAATTCTGCTGTTTGGAAAACATTTTTAAAACACATGATACAAAAGATATTTTCTTTTCTTCTATATTTGGCATATGTAAAATAAAAAAAAACCTGGAAGTCTTTGGATAATTTATGTCACAATTTTAAAGGCACATAAAGCCTTAAGAACGAAAACATTTTTATTTCCATAAAAGGCAAACGTGTTTTAACAAGGCTACATGCAGAAAATAGTGCAGACTCTAAAATTACGTATGTGATAAAAGAGATAAAATTTAAAAAAAAGTGTTTTTTTTTTAATTCCATACAAATACTAAATCACAAAAGATGTTTCAGCCACATTTATATGGCTAATGAGTAAATTTTTGGAAACTGTTAGAAAATGAAGAAAAACTTTGCAATTTTGAAGCATTATCTGCCATTAATGAATGAATGTGTTTTTTCTGATACAGTGAAATGACAAGCATCACCCAAAATGATATAATCAGCACACTACAGTCTCTCAACATGGTGAAGTACTGGAAGGGTCAGCATGTAATCTGTGTCACTCCAAAGCTTGTTGAGGAACATTTAAAGAGCTCGCAATACAAGCGTCCCATACTAACTGTAGACACAGCATGTGTCAGATGGGAGCCACCACGTAAACAGCACAAAATGAAGAAAACCTGAAAGTCTACAGAAGTTAACTGGCAATAACTTACAGTTATAAGAATCTTTATTCTATCAGTAGAGATGAGTAAATAAGTGACAGTACTGAGAGAAGATAAGAGCAATTAGAAAATGTGTCTTTAACATCACTTAATGACAGTCTTTATCTTTTATGCTGACTTGTGAAATACTGGGTTATATCTTTAAAATAAAATCCATATCACTTGTACTATATCTCTTTCACTGTGACTGATAACAGCTTTGCTGGAGTTTTTTGGTGTATGTTTTTGGAAATTTGTAAATTTACATAAATAAAATTGTTTTTGTTTATTTCTTGATTTAAATATCTGTATTTTTTTCTTTAAAAAAAATGCATAATTGTTATGTTACAATAATGACTTTAAAAGTGAATTATTACTTTTGTTTGTGAAGTGTTCCTGTAGCTGTTAAATGCTTGACATTATCTTCTTTATATGCATCTGTTTCATGGCTTTATATAAGAAAACAATGTTATATTCTTTAAATGCTTTTGATTTATCACTTAAATGGTTCTTTAGAATGTTGCCTTCTGTAAGTTGATTGTATGAATGTTAAAAATCACAATAAAGTGTTCAGTCTAGACTGTGCCATTGCCCTTTTTGCACTTCAAATATATAAACATTTGAATATCACAGATTTTCTTTAGTTATATGTCTGATTCCCAAATTGTGGGCCTGAACAAAGCTGAATTAAACAATGATGAATGTTTTAACATGTATTGAAATCAGTCGGCAAGCAGCAGTTGTTAGTTTAAATTTGAGATCTGACTATATTCAGTTAGAGAATTCTTGCTGTTTAGATTGTTAGAGTTTAACTGAATTGTTGCAAAATTCTACGTATGATCAGTTCATTTGATTGCACTAGCACATTTCCAGCTTATACTAAAATGGGTATTGATTCTGTATTGTGAAGATTTGATCTTTGACTTGGAAATAGTATATATGTTAAAAGGATGCAAGACAATAAGACTGAAATTGTCCTTTATTGTTTCATCATATTGATAATGGTTTGTTGTTTTAGTTTATAATGATATTATAAAGTACATTTAGATGTATAGCTTACATGAATCATACATTGTATACATGTACCAGTTTGTGTTCAGCATGGTTTCATTAAAACTTCATTTGTAAATATTATATGACTAGTTTAGTTATTTATTGTCAACATACTAGTTTTCTTTAAAGTGTATAAACATAATGGTGAATTCAAATTGATAACAAAGCATGAAACTTAAAAGCATTTGATAATCAAAGTCACTACCAGTATTTAAGTATTGTCCAACAAGAAAATCTACATATTAAGTCTATACATCATATTTACATACAAGTAAAAGGTCCTTCAGAGTGAATTGAAGCTGTATTTAAACTTTTTGAAATGACTACTAGGACAGTATTACAACAATAGTGAAAAATTATTTTAAAAACGTTAAATAAAGTTTACTATCACTGTTCTAAAATGTTGTAAAAAATATAGTAGAAGTGATAGTATGTCGTGGTACAATAAAATGCTCTGTCGGTGAAATCAGCATCTTCATCACCTACAACAAATTGAGATGCATGTTGGACTAACACTACTCCAGCTTAAATTTCAAAGTGAAAACAAAGAGCTGCTTATAATGAGATTTTATTTAGGGAAAAAGACAACAACAACTTTTTAAGATAAATTTTTTTTATTTAACTTGAATGCAGTCTGTACATTATTGGGACCTGAAATGATAAAGACTGAGTTAAATAGTTTATGTTAAGGACACTGACTAGGTTATTTGCAGGTTAGAATGATGGTTCTTCAATCTTGTAACCTATATAAATATTAATACGTTTCACTGATATTGTGTCTTTTATAAAGGTATGGCACCAGTAAGGTAGAGTTTGCTATTTCATTGGGTACACACCTAAGTGGTTGACAAATATTGTGCATTGTTAATGAAGTTAGGTAATGGGTGTCGTGTATGTTTACTGCCAAATGCATTAATGTAATTTCATTACGATATGATGTAATGTTGACTATTGTTTGTTATGTTAATGGTCAATGTCCTTATCTATCTAGTTTCTACAGGTAAATAAAATGGTAATAATGATATTAGAATGTCCGGGTCATCATCGGATGTTTACCGTTATTGTCACTCGTGGACTTGACCATAAGTTGCTGTGTTTGCAGATGATCACTCTAATACCTTATCACAACTTTTGTTCAATAGCTACTGTCACTAACTTTTACAGATATATTTACCCTGCTCATATGGTCAACATCAAACATAAGCATAACAAAACAAGATAACATATCGAAAACAGTGTTACCAAATGAAAATACTTAAATATTATTTGATGATATATTTGCTTTTCTATGGTTTGTTTTAGTCATTTCACACGTATCTCTGAAAGAAGTGCTTGCTTTCCAAAGTTTCCCCATTAAAGGTATGGTTACTTTGGTAGCTGATATTTTTCTATTTTTCACGAACGAGCAAGGGTCTGGAACACCATCGTTCCAATAGGTGAACCCTGGGATTGGTACGACCTTTGCTCGAAGTATCCGCGCTAGACACCCAGTAATAAAGGCATCCTCTATAGGCATATAAGGTATATATTCAGACGTTATAAACATGTCTGTTATAATATTTCCAGAAATAACATATGAATTTCCTGAAGCATAGTTCGGATAATAGCTCAGAGGAAATTCATCCTTTGATACAGCCCATTTTCCAGACCTATGCACAGAAGCACGCTGGTTTATATAACCATACACTGCACCTTTTATACCATATAGTCTCTTGTGAAGTTCGTTTGTAAGTTTTGGTATATCAACAAACACATCCTCATCAACTTTTAAAAGAAAGTCTATATTACTGCAATAAATAGATACCCATTTTAAGGCGATCAACATTTTTCTTGTTAGGTTTTTGTACGATTCTACAAAATCAGACACAACAATATCATTATATACCTTACTTTCATTTTGAACAGATCGCTGTGTATTAACGTCACCGTCTTTTCCGAGCAGGAACATAAGTTTTACTGTCACTTCTATATTTATATGGTCAATAACAAATGACTTATTCGAGTAAGAGCCGTACGTTTTCCTTATTGCATTCCGAACATTTGAATGACTTGGGATCGATGGTACCACAATAAGTAATGTCATATATTTGGAATCTGTTTCACATATTTGAGAACCATTTATGCTGAAATTGTGCTCAATTGGATTTACCTTAAATGCCCTTGGTGTATAAAAATGTCTTTCATTTTCTTTACGCCGGAGACGTAACTTTTGCATTAGTTCCGCGGTGTATGTATCATTTACCACCTTTCCCGTTAAAGTTGTAATCATTTCAGTATCGTTCGAAACTTCAACTTTACCAGATTCTGTAACTATGTAGTCCACATTTGTATCAATAAGATCTTGTTTCTCATGTTCAAAATATCTGCCATCTCCTGGATTAGGATGAAAATTTCTGAACCATGCTTTTTCGTTAGTTTTGCGTATCTTTGTTAGTAAGAATAAAGCACGTTCTTCGTGTGTTGTTGTCGAAGCCGGTTGAGTGTTATCAGGATTCCTTTGGTCTTTACGGGATGGTTCCATAAGCTGGAAAGTGTTTAGGCGTTCTTTGTATGATTTCCTGAGCTTGTTAAGCGTTTTGCGCTGTGCACCTTCGTTTTTCGAATGTTCGACAATAAATTTTTCCTTTTTGTTGAATAACCGGATACGTGTAACGGACATTTTGCGTTGCTCTTCAAAGGTTTCGGGTAAAGTTTTCAACAGGACAAACACAAATAGAACCATCCAAATAAATAACAATTGTGCCGTAACTGGTATAACCCGTCTCATTGTTTTCTCCTGTCTTTATGTCGCAGGCAGTTCACATTCTTTGCTCTAAAATAATCAAAATACACGTACCTTTTGCTTTATTTACTATACCAGTAAGCAATGATTGTGTCATACAATATGTACAATAAATAAACATTTTCTAAAGTGTGATTCACATTCACACGTTAATGTGGTATACGGACCATTTACATGTTCATCTCTAGAATATCTAAGAAATGTAAATAAAATGATTGCTTAGAAGATTTAATTTACATGTGTGATTTGAAAACATATTTACTCTAATAATATTATGCATATTTTTGTTTTAAATGTTAGCCATCTTCGTGTCACCAATTTGAATTTATATATATTTATCAAAGAGTGTTTTGATTATTTCCTCGTAAAGAAAAAATGAGATTGTAGTGATCATAATTAAATTGTCATTCTAACATCTTAATTTATCTTCATCTTTTTTTATTCCTTTTTTATAAAAAAAAAAGAAAGAAAACAGTTCTTTTATCGAAACGACTTTTTCGAATTTAATTTTAAAATAAATTCAGTTTTAAAAGCGAAATTTAAACTGCTTTATTTAGTTCTTGTGTCCATAGTATTTTATTGGTCTTGTTTTCTCTGTTACAATTTTCGTTGTTTTAATTTCTTTTCTTTCGTCTGAACTTTGATTCGGAATAAAAACCTAATACCTCGGGTTTATTTATTTAACAGACTGATGAACTTTTAATATACTTTCTAAATTATTTGTTTAGTATTCTAGACCATGACCAGTTTTTCTCATATCAAATCTAAAAAAGTTTTACTAAAAATCAATAGGAAGTAAACTTTGCGCGCAACTTTTAAGATTGTCAGCTATCAAGAGAATTCATCAGCAACTTAGTTCACGCATCTCATTTAACGAATATCTAAACTGAAATTAATGAGAGTTTGTGTCTTAAAATGGTTTTTGTCCATTAGTCAGAACAATTTATGAAAAGTTATAGTACACACATGTATGTACCTTATTATAAATTTAAAAAATTCTCTATGGATAAAACACTTTACCATATTTAAAATTGTATGTTGCTTATTTTCAAATATAAATATTCCAAACCTTTTTCATCAGTTAATTACTTCCGCACATATTTGAGACATTATTTGCATGAAATAAGAGTAATTTGTGGTTAGAGGATATATTTGTTTGTATTCATAATTGAATTATACATTATATGACAGTATAATGTAATCATGTAACGCTGCGCAATTGTATAAAGGTAATAGCCAATTTGTGAAATATTGTTTACTTATATACCATATTTATAATTCATATGTTTCTACATCTCCGTCTTGAACATCAAAGGAACTTGATAAATTTGTTTAAATAATAGATTGATGTAAGAAATACACACTTGCTATAATTTATTATCTTTAAAAATCGCAACCACGCAACCACAGAGTTAATTGGGTTTTTAAGCTGCATGCCTCTAGACGAGCCAAAATATCTTAAGAAAATCATATTAGAGAAAAATGTTGCAAGATTTAAAGAAGAATAAAAATATTTATTATCGGTAAAATTAATAGCAACTAGTTTCTACTTGTATGTATACATATATAGATTCTATATTTTCAATGTTCCTTAACGTATTGAAATTTGTAAAGGGCACACTACACAATAACACAAGTGTATAAAAAACATTAGCTCGTTCTTTCTTATTTTTTCATGTGAAGTTAATCGTATATCGTATACTTTTTGAAGAATAATACTAGATCTAAATATTTCCAAAGACAATTTACCGGAGACGACATATTATAAAAACAATGAGGGCTTTGTTGGCCCTTATATCGCTCACCTGATTTTGATGGCCCTTAATGAAAAAAAAATAAGATTGTTCATTTTTTAATGAAAAACAGATAAAAATGTCTTAAACTTAAACTGATATCACAAAGTTCATATCTACATCCGAAATATATTTATAATTATTTCAGTTTCAAAGTAGGCGAACTGTCGTATGCGCGTCATATTGGAAAGTACTCATTTCCTCGTGCTGACTGCGTTGTTAGGTCATTCGAAGCTTTAGTATTGCTAGCAAAATTTATTATTGTCACATGTATTATGTCCCTACCGCCCATCAAATTTGTAACGCTGTGCCGCGTAGCGAGGAGGAGATTATGGGAATAGCCTTCGTCTGTCCGTATGTCAGTCTTCTGATGAATATCCTTGTTTATTCCGTACAAACTTATACTTTTGTGGTAAGAATTAAGTTGCTTTTAGGGTGAAAATAGGTTTTGTTTCTGAGGTTTTAGAGATCGAAGAAGATAAAAAAACAACTAAAATAACCCCATAAAGTCAAATCAAGGGAGAACGTCCGCCCGCCAGTAACAATTTTCGTGTCCGCTCCATTTGAAAAGATTTAAAATTGGCACAATTGTTCACACCATTATGAAACGATGTGCAGAGCGTAACAACCAAGTGGCTTCGCCCCCAAGGTCAATGTCACGCTTAAAGGTCAAATGTTAAAAATGTCTACATTTCGTTCCATTCCATAAAATTTAAACTTATGCAAGTTTTTATGAAAAACTTGACACAATCATCATAATTATTTGGAGGTCTAAGCTAAGAGACGACGGATATATGCCGGAGCGCGAAAACAGGTCGCAACATCCAAGGTCAATGTCACATTTAAAAGGTTAAATGTCAATTTAAAAACCCCGCCGCCGCATTTCATGTCAGTTTTATTATCTTTTAAACAAACGAAAATTCAAAAATTAAAAACAAAAAAACTGACAAATGATCATATTTTGAAGTCTACAACTTTTCTTTCTTTTCACTTGCTACCGGTTCCAGTGTTCTACTACGACAGGGATACAGATGTGTCGTTCCGTGACATAATACCGTCCGACACAGCTGTTCTTCAGGCCTGCCTTTTTTTCTTCTCTTCTCTTCTTCTTGTTTATGTATGCCATTTCACATTTAGAAAATAAACAGGTTGGTTAACTTGTGAAGTAGATAGTAGCTATGGCGTTTCTTGTGTGCAATGAAAATTTAAAATTCATTCTCATTATGAAAATCCACAGATAATAAAGCACACTGTACATTTGTTTGTTTATATGACTGAAATATTTAAGCTTTTATAATATTCATGGTATTACATGAAATGTGTAGTTTTAAACTTTAAAATGCGATATCAGTCCATTTGTAAAAAAGTGAATGACTGAATACCATGACACTCATAAAGATTGTGTCTAAATATTGATTTTTTTTTTATTAAAAAATAGATATTTTAGAGATTATTTTTAATAGTTTTACAGTCTTTTAATTATAACTCCTTATGTAGGAGTGGCTTTGTGTTATTTAAAATTTGTGTTTTATTTCTTAAATATATGTAAATATGTAAAGATGCACAAAGATGAGACTTTAATAAAATATTTGAGTTGAGTAGGTTTGTAACCTATTGTGATTTTTTTTGCACACACACACACACACACACACACACACACACACAACACACACACATATATATATATATATATATATATATATATATATATATATATATATATATATATAGTAATTATATTTATTATATTGTCAACTGTTTAATAATAATAAAATGTCATGAAGTTATGTTTATGTTAATATTTATCATTATGTCCCTGCCAGCCTAATTATCAACCAAGTCTGAAAAGTCATTATAAAAAAATATATCTTTTATACATGTACTACTGAAATTGTAAACTTCAGTAAGATTCAGAGTCGAACCTCGAAACGTTTTCTACAAAGGTGATTTCAGCTGGAAGTTTATACACGTGGAGTAGTAGTAGTAGTTCATCACTGCATGGTGTTCACCTGTTTCTTTGATACGTTAAGATAATATTATTATCGAATTACTTAATTATTCATTAACAGCGAGTTGTTTTGGAAAGTACTAAGTAGTAACATTACCTGGACAGAAATCGATTGTCATCACCATTTGATGCCTCATTTTTACTTATAGTAATATAAGAGTAACAAAACATCAAGCGCGATACAATTAGAGAACTATAAAGAAACATTTTCTCTATGTATAACATATCTTGGGATGTGATACAGAGTTGCCATACTGTTACTGATAAGCTTCTGGCTTGCTAGCAACTAAATCTAAAGGTAAGGTTTAAACTTGCATAATTCCGTGTAGTTATTTTGTGTACATATTCTACATATATGAACTGCACAAAGGAAATAAATAAACATATAAAAATTGTTTCTTGCTATGTGAAAATAAACAACAATGTAATGTATTATAAGTTAAGTTTTTGAAAAACCATTTTTTGCTCAATTGTGATAAAAGCGTATATTTTAACTTTTTTTCGAGTCTGCTTTCTGAACTGTAACAATAATATGATTTTAAACCCACTAGGTCACCGCCTTCGTGTATAATCAAATATACGAAACTTTATTCTAATGGATATTATACATTATGCAATATAACATTGTAATTTATGCTTGAAAATAAAATTTTGTTTACCTTTCATCGGAAATATTATACAGTAAGTTTTAATCTAATTGTACAGTTAAATTTAGAATGGGGTCGAAAAACAAGCACAAAGATGCCGTAAGATCAATCAATCAATCAATCAATGATTTCTATGCAAATCAGAATTTGAAATGAATAACTCTTTCGAAGATCTTTATATAATTTTAAAACTCATGGTAACACATCAAAACATCACAGTCATTTTATTTAATATTTTATTTATTTATTTATTTTATTTATTTATCATACAGTAAACAGTATCATACTAGTATCATACTAGTAAAAAGTTTTAACAATTTAAAAAAAAACAAAACAACATAAAATATTAATTATTCTAAATCTTTAAGAGACTATAAGAAGGTGTAAAACCTGATTATAACAAAAAAAAATATGCTGTATATCATACTATACATACCCACGAATCTTCAACTTAGTGTTTTCATCTTGGCCATGATGAATGATTTGAAGTTAAAGAATGTCAAAAAAATTTTAAAAACTTAAAAATCTAGCGTTTTGTTCCATCAGTTTTATCTACATGTAGAAAAAAAAAACATTTTATAAGTACTATGTATTAAATAATGAACGTTTGAAATGCTGAACATTTTTACCATAATAGATTTGAACGAGTTAAGGAGGAACAGAGCTAAATAAATCTAAATTGTCGGATAATAATACGAACTTCTATCCACATGAATGGATATTTATAAAATTATAATTTAGTTACTATTCAATTGTACCACGGGGAGGAAGTGTTAACGAAGGATTGAGTTCTTATGAATAACTTTGTTCAGGAGTTTCTTGTGATAACTGTCACGGAGTTCGTCGGAAAACATCTGTATATACTACAAAACACTCGTTCAAAAATGGTTTATTTGCATCGTTCAAAAATGAGTTTTTAGGTACTAAAGTAAACTTTAAATAATT